TCGCTTCCTTCCTCTCTGAACTTTGCTCAGATGGAAATGGAAGCATTTGGTGAGTGATATCTATCTTTCTTGAGCTACTACTGAAATGTTTTCAGGTTTTCAAATCGGAGGCACCCGCAGACCACGTCACTCTGATCAGGACACCACCAGTACCCCAGCTACTGCGCCACCTGACACACTGTCTCCCGCTGCCCCTCCTTCTTCTGTCGACATTTCAGACCCTCCTCTCCACCGTGGCCGTGGCTGCCCTCGAAAGCAAGCTGTGGCCCAGCCTAGCCCTCCACCAGCACCTGGCCTTCCTCCGACGCAGGCGTCTACTGAGCAACCTCCTACAATCCCTTCTCCCACTCCCCCCACTCTGTTCTTCGACATGGTAATCCACATCTTGCTTCCGGACAAGGTATCACGAACTGCCAATCGTAAAACCAAAACCTCGAAACAAGATCCCCTCACGTATGGTCCACTTTCTGTTCCTCTCTCGGTTGAGTGGAATGAGCTCCTTGCCGAGGTCGCCTCTACCCTCGCCACTACACCAAATCAACTAGTCGTTACAAGTTTTGCGTGGAGGCTGATAAAGCCTGCCAATAGCCCATTTATGCCTTTGACGACGGCTCAAGGTCTTCCCGCGCTGGTTCGTCAGTTGACCTCCAAGGCAGCAAAGCAAGATGGCTCAGCATGCATTGTGTTACGTATGCTCCCCCCCACTGCGGCGCCAACCTTGGTGAGTAGTTTTATCATATTTTGAGGATAGATTTGAATGAAAGCTTGTCTGTAGCCGTGGGTCAATTGTCCTACTGTTGACGAAGATGAGCAATCCGAAGATGATCTCACTGGTCCACCAAAGAAGAAGGTTAGCCTTTTCGTTAACTGACTTACTTTTGTCGCTAAGACATGTTAGGGCAAGATTGATGAAGGAGCACCTAACAGTTCACCACGTCTTCAGTTGGATACCAACTGGATCCAGTTGGCAATTGGTGTCCAGTGTCAAAATCAGGGGCAAGAAAAGATGGCCAGACAAGGGTTTGAACCAAGGACCTTCTGGTTGCTTTCCAGACGCTCTACCATTTGAGCTATCCGGCCTTAGTTACTAGCTGCACAACATTGAATGTGATCTCCCTTTCACATGACCACCCAACCATTCAATCAATACTGGCCGGGCACATGCCCCTATCCAGTCCATTCAAATGGTGATCATGTGCCGGATTACACCATTCCAACATCCAGTTGGTGTTCAGTTGGTGTTCAACTGAATTTTTGACAGTTTTTATTTGGCTGAGAAATGGCTACGAAAGTTCAGTTCAACACCAGTTCAGTTCAGTTCAGTTCAGTTGGACACCAGTTGAACACCAAGTGAATTAAGTGAATAATTAGTGTTCATTTGGTGACCAACTGAAAATTTGGTAGAATGCCAAGTGGTCACCAATTGGATACCAAGTGAATGTCACTTGAACACCAATTGATAAAAATGAAATTGTATATACATATAAATTTTATCAATTTTTAGACAATTTCTGGGGATTTATTTGGATTTTCTACAATTTATTGGAGGTTTTCTGGGGCAATTTCCGCTTTGGGACGTTAAAAATGAGTTAGCAAGGGTTATCTGATGATAAGTCATTTTTTCTCACACGGGCGCTTATTGGGCGCTTACTATCGAATATTAATATTATTTTTATTTTATTTTCTTTTTTAGATGCGCGCCTATCCGGCAATCACTGCGACGCCATGCGCATGTGACAGTGGCGTGCCACGGTGGCACGCCGCCTCTTTCTTCTCAACCACCACCATCCCCCCTTTCTTTGCTTTCCTCCAACACCCCCCCCCAATGCCGCAATGCCCCCACGCAAGCCAACATCGCGAGGACGCGCAGGAACGGCCAGGAACGATGAGGCAGGACGGGCAAGGTAAGCACCTGTCCCCCATCTTTTTTCCCCGTTCTCTGACGACTCCCCTGCCTCCCACCACCACCTCTCCACGCCCTCAACGTCCTCCATCGCCCCTACTGTCCCCCATCGCCGTCGACAACAACGACACAGCCCCCATCGCCCTCATTGCCCTCCAACGCCATCGATGTGCCCCCCGTCGTCCCACAACGCCCCCCATCGTCGTCACGTGCCCCCCACGCCCCCCCATCGCCACCGCCCGCCCCCCAACGGCCCCCATTGTCCCCCAACGGTCCCCGTTGCCCCCCATCGTCGTCACACACCCCCCAACCACCCCCAACACCCCCAATGTCGTTGTGCGCCCCCACCACCCACCACCATATCCCCAACACCCCCCGTTGTCGTCGTGCACCCCCCGTTGTCATCGTCGCACACCCCCCCGTTGTCGTCGCTCACCCCCTGTCAACGTCGCTCACCCACGACCACATCCCCAACACCCCCCGTCATCATCATGCACCCCCCGTCGTCATCGCGCACCCACGACCACATCCCCAACACGCCCTGTTATCAATGCCCGCCCCCCTGTGATGCCCCATTGCCACCACCAGCACCCCCAACAAACCCAGGTCCACCAGGTCAGCAACCAAGGCCCTTCAAGAGGCCCTCAAGTGAGTCAGCCCCCCTCAACCTTTACATTATTAGTAGTAGGTAGTAGTAGTGTATACTTTAGTCATAAATATAAATAAATTTCTTTTAAATTCAATTAAATTCAAACAAATTAACAATGGCTTGTCTGACAGTGAGGACCTCCCTGTGCAAGTCAAGAAAGTCAAGAAGACTCCCAAGGTCAATAAGAAAACCAAGTAAGTCCTCCATTGTCTCTTTATTCATTCTCTCTTCATGCTGATTGTTTGTAGGACCTCCGCAGACCGTGATCAAGAAGATGAAGAGGCTGAGGAACCCACTGATTCTCAGTGAGAGTGGGGCTGCTCTTGCTCCGCCACCTCGTCGAGTTGGGACTGGGGTTCTCCTACCCCCAGTCGCTCCGAGGATCGTCTCCACCCGTGTTCGCCGTGCTGATCCAGGTGATGTTCCCCAAGTCGTAGACAAGGGGAAAGGTCGTGACTTGACGAATCTCGGCTCATCGGATGCAGAGGATGAGCCAGAGGACGAGGATGATGAAGAAGAGGGTCAGGGGGAGGAAAAGAAGTCGAGTGATGAAGGGCCAGGGGACGTGGATGACGATGAAGAGAAGGAGAAGACGTCGAGTGAGGAGGAGGAGAAGGAAAAGATGTCGAGTGACGAGAAGGTGTCCAATGCTGGTAACAAGCATTCTGACGCAGGTGATGACAAGGAGAGTGATAACTCTGGTGAGCATGCCATGGACCTCGACCCCAACGTCACCCCTCGCAACCCGCCTGCCTCCAAGCGTCAGGCTAGTGCCTCCCCCATCGCCCATCGCCATGTAGCTCAGTGCAGCAAGGCTGACCATGCCAACAATATGCCTCTGCCTGCCCCTGTCTTTGCTGGGTTTGATGATCTGCCTTCCTCTCCCATCGCTGACGACTTCGATGATTTGCAAGGCGCCTCACGTACCATAGGTGGAGTTGCAAGGGCCAAAGGACATGGTGTAGCCCCCAACATGGCTGACTTCAGTAAGTCTGTGCTTCTCATACTCGGCTCAGTTACTGACTTCTTTCTTAGATACCCAGCAGGCAGACCTTGTCCCCGTTCGAAACGAGGGCAGGGTCTTGGTCTACAACAATCATGACCGCACCAAGGCCACCCTCCGCACTGTGAGAGTCCCTTTGGCCTACACGTTGGGGCCTGTCCTCAAGTCCATGGTCAAGAAACTGACCGCTTTGGCTAGTAAGTGACAGATTTTGACTTCGCGTTTTTTGCTTATTTTTTCTTTCCACTTAGCCTCTGACATTTCATTGTGGGTTAACAATGACTGGGAGATCATGGGGCCGTTTGCGGTTGCCCTGGAGGAAGATGAGCCCATTAAGTGTCAAAATCAGGGGCAAGAAAAGATGGCCAGACAAGGGTTTGAACCAAGGACCTTCTGGTTGCTTTCCAGACGCTCTACCATTTGAGCTATCCGGCCTTAGTTACTGGCTGCACAACATTGAATGTGATCTCCCTTTCACATGACCACCCAACCATTCAATCAATACTGGCCGGGCACATGCCCCTATCCAGTCTATTCAAATGGTGATCATGTGCCGGATTACACCATTCCAACATTAAGTGGGATAACAACAAGGAATTGGAGTTGTTGATGGTAAGCAAATTCCGACTTGACTTAAAAAAAATTCTAACTCTATCTCACTCAGGAACGTTCGGATCCTAACTCTGCCTTCCATCCCCCTTCTTCCCCCTCTGTCCAATCTGTCGATGCCCCCTCCACCATCTTGTCTCTCGCCCCCTCTGCCTCTGTCTCGACTGCTGGTGTCGACACCGCCTCGCTTACCATTGCCCAGCAACTCGCCACTGCCTTCTCTGACCCCGCCCTTCTCCAGCTTGCCATCATGCTGAAGGTGCCCTACAGCATGACACCCAAGGCATCTCAGAAGGGTGAGATTCCTCAGATCTATGCTCGGATGAAGGCAGCTGCCCAAGTCCCAGCAAAGTGGTTGGAACTGAAGAACACAGGGAAGTGGACTGGTCGTGATCTCTCCATCGACGAACTTCGCTCACTCTACATCCGCAAGACCAACTACAACACCTACTCCAAGATGTTCGACAACGCTGAGCAGTTCCCCATCCTCCATGCTCTGTTGAACAACCCCGCTTACGATCAGAGCTCAGAGGAACACAGAGCTGTCTGGGGAACTCACAAGCTTACAAAGGAGAACTTGGCGGCCGTCACTGTTAAAGTTTAGGCTATTAAACTATGATCAGAAGCTTAATTAAGTGTTCTAATGACTTCTAATTGCCTTAGTAACAATCAATAATGATGAGTTGATGCAATCAATTGTTGGAATGGTGTAATCCGGCACATGATCACCATTTGAATGGACTGGATAGGGGCATGTGCCCGGCCAGTATTGATTGAATGGTTGGGTGGTCATGTGAAAGGGAGATCACATTCAATGTTGTGCAGCCAGTAACTAAGGCCGGATAGCTCAGATGGTTAGAGCGTCTGGAAAGCAACCAGAAGGTCCTTGGTTCAAACCCTTGTCTGGCCATCTTTTCTTGCCCCTGATTTTGACATCAATCAATAATGTGTAATGATTTGCGCTTCTATTGACTCTTTGTGTCTAGTACTCTAGACATAATTGGAATATGACTTCCCAAGGTTCCCACGGGTACCATTCTGCGCGAGGCGTGAATATAGGTGTCCACTAAATCGCGTCCGAATTTGTTTAGCTCCGGAGCAGCTTGGGAACATGCTAGACATCATCCTAATGATGGCTCCATGTTTCATTATTGCTCCTTTTGCTTCCCTGTTGAGACCGAGGTGTTCCGGGGTCTGTTCCGGCGGTCACAATAGAGGTCACTAGACCTACTAATGGGGCGCCAAACGTGGGAACGTTCCATTGACCGTGAGAGTCGTGCGCTTGAAGTTTATTTACAGATTGCTAAAGAGTGTTTCCACACTTTTAGCAATACTGTCAACACCAGTCATCCCATGATGACCTGGGTCGTCCCAATGGGTGTTGGCAGTGTCTATGGGTGGTCCCCAATGCGTGGGAACCGGGCGCTTAAGCAGCGCAACTTTATTGTACATTTGTACAACAAGTTTGGCATCACTTCAACAGTGGCTGGTGTACTGTACAGTTATCCTTTCATTCCTCCCACGCTACTACAGTATATACTTCGCTTCCTAGCATGGAGAATCCTTATCCTGTTCTCTTTGGATTCTCCCTCTGCTAGGTGAGCAGCTCTCTCATGTATTGTAGCTAGTCTTATTCATTCTCTTTGGATTCTCCCTCTGCTAGGCTTGCACTGTCGGCCATCTTGAGGTTGCCCTTACAGAAATTGTCTAAAAATTGTTAAAAATATATATGTATATACAATTTCATTTTTATTAGTTGGTGTTCAAGTGACATTCACTTGATGTTCAATTGGTGTCCACTTGGCATTCTACTGAATTTTCAGTTGGACACCAAATGAACACTAATTATTCACTTAGTTCACTTGGTGTTCAACTGAACTGAACTGAACTGAACTGGTGTTGAACTGAACTTTTGTAGCCATTTCTCAGCCAAATAAAAAATGTCAAAAATTCAGTTGAACACCAACTGAACACCAACTGGACACCAATTGCCAACTGAAGACGTGGTGAACTGTCAGGTGCTCGATAATCCTTATTCAAGAGACAGAGGGGCGTCAAGACTAATTCTGATACAATGATTCCGTCAAGGAAGATCTCCTATTGACTAGTATAGTTGGGTGTCTCCGCTAAAAGACAATACGTTGGAGTTCCGAGGTTTTAACTTGGCGAACTCCTGACAAAATGAAGTCCCACAGTTTGAACGGGCTAACTTCAAGACACTAAACAAAGTCCCACGGTTTGAACGGGCTAACTTTGCCGAAGCTCTAGGTCAATTCTAGATCACTTCTAATAAGATGCTCCAGGATAGGGCTGGAACGGCTTCTAAGACACTGAGCGGAATGACAATACCAAATTATCCAAAACAAGGTAGACACAAGCTACGAGTTGTTCTGTTTGTCTAGCAAGAAGCAAATTCACAAGCACAGTACTCAATTATCACGTAATTAAGTCTATCTGAACTGTGTATCTGATATAAGACTATCCTACTGATCACAATAGGAAGAAAGAGTTGGCTGGTTGAGAGGGGAGTGGGGGTAATTTGAACTGATTCTAATGAATTGATTCTCATGAATTGATTGATTCTACTACAGGAATTGGGGCAGTATTTATACCTTTTACAGATACTAAGGCTATGACTAGGTTTCTATTGCCGAGCTCGTATATTAGTAAGCTGAGGCTTGCCGAGGTGGTTATGAAACATGCTGAGGTTGACATGAAACATGCCGAGGCTGGCATGAAACTTGAAACTGTGTTTCAGGTATCGAGGCTATGCTGGCATAGCAAGGTGAAACATGTTTCAGGTTCTTCATATAGCATTATTCTGTCTTGGCTATAGAATAGCTTGAGTAGCCAGCATAAAGAACACTGAAGTCCCAAGGCCTAGGCTTCTAGCTATGGCCTGGATCTGCCTGGGTGGGCCTGGTCCTGAGGGCTGAGTGCAGAGTGATCTATCACAGGAGAATCAAGATCAAAATAGAGGATAAGAGGAGGAAAGAATATGTTGTACTGTAAGCTAAGGGGTTGATTAGGGGATAGGGGAAGGTTGATTATATGTACGGTATGCTAAAATAATAAATAACGGGGAAGGCCTGTGTGAAGCTTTTGGGAGGTGGTGTTCAAAGCGGCTGCAAGTATCCTTCTGAACAAAGTATGATGAATCATGGCGTTTCATGTCCCATACTACAAAACCCATTTTGGAGTATGACAGCGTGTGGCCTCGCGCTGATTGCTGGTGATTGGCGCCAAATAGGCGCGCGTCTAAAAAAGAAAAGAAATAGAAAATAAAATAAAAAGAATATTAATATTCGTGAATAAGCGCCCAATAAGCGCCCGTCCGAGGAATATGACTTATCTTCGGATAACCCTTGCTAATCCATTTCTGGCTGTCCTAAAGCGGTAATTATGCCGGAAAATGCTCAAAAAACTCAAATAAATTCCCAAAAATTCACAGAAATTCATAGAATATACAATAAAATCATATAAAATTATAATAACACTACAAAATGACATATTGTCCATAAGATTGCCATGTGATGTCCACATGAATACCAGATGAACCCCACCTCAATACCAGCACTTTGTCTACCTGATATATGGGTGGTATTCATGTGGTGTTCAGCTGGAAATCCAAGTGAATACCACATGGACATCACATGGATATCACCCATTCAGTATAGCTCACATGGTGTCCACCTGGTAAAAATGTGGACAAATGTGGTAAAAATGTGGCACTGCTGGGCCATTACAGCCAAACCAAAATCCACCTTTTCACCACTTGAATACCACGTGAGTTCACATGAACACCACCTGGATGCCACCTACCCACCTGGATCCACCTGGGGTCCAACCGAAGATGTGGTGGATCATCAGGTGCTCGATGTGGGCTTGCGTGGGGGCATCACGACATTGGGGGGCGTTGGGGGAAAACAAGGGGAAGGGGGATGGTGGTGGTTGAGAAGAGAGAGGCAGCAGTGCCAGCATGGCACGCCACAGTCACATGCGCGTGGCATCACACTGACTGCCGAATAAGCGTGCGCCTAAAAAGAAAAATAAAATAAAATAAAATAAAAAGAATATTAATATTCGTACTTAAGCGCCCAATAAGCGCCCGTCGGAGAAAAAATGACTTATCATTAGATAACCATTGCTAACTCATTTTTGGATGTCCCAAAGCGGTAATTATGCTGGAAAATGCCAAAAAAACTCAAATAAATTTTAGAAAATCCAAATAAATTCACAGAAATTGTCTAAAAATTGTCAAAAATATATATGTATATACAATTTCATTATTATCAATTGGTGTTCAAGTGACATTCACTTGGTGTTCAATTGGTATTCACTTGGCATTCTACTGAATTTTCAGTTGGACATCAAATGAACACTAATTATTCACTCAGTTCACTTGGTGTTCAACTGGTGTCCAACTGAACTGAACTGAACTGGTGTTGAACTGAACTTTTGTAGCCATTTCTCAGCCAAATAAAAAATGTCAAAAATTCAGTTGAACACCAACTGGACACCAACTGGACACCAATTTCCAACTGAATCCAGTTGGTATCCAACTGAAGACGTGGTGAGCTGTCAGGTGCTCAAAGAGTGGCACCTGCAGGTCGCGAGAGAGGTTGGATATGTTATTGCCATCTTTCGAACCGATAATGGCGAGCTCAAATCAAACACCATGGACGTGTGATGCAAATCTATAGGCACAATTCATCAATTCACGGCACCCTACACCTCAGCTCATATCAGATCAGTTGAGCGCTACCATAGAACAATCATGCAAAAGGCTCATGTAATGTGTGTTCAATGCAAACTACCCTCGAACCGCTGGGATGAGTTCTGTTTAACAGCCTGCTATCTCTCAAACAGAACAGCTTCGAGTGTGATCAACATGACACCGTATGAAGTGTGGCATGGTGAGAAGCCAAACCTTTCACATTTGCGCGAAATTGGTTGTCGTGCATTCGTACTCATTTAGGAGAAACATGTTCCCAAAATCTATCTACGGTCCATTGAATGCATCCTCATAGGATATACTCCAAACGCTAAAGCCTATCGCTGCTACGACCCCAAAACTCGCCGCGTTATCGACTCCTTTAATGTGTGATTCATTGAACGGAAGGATGTGGCCGAACAAGATGACGAAGAAGAGACTCACACAGAGGAGACAATCAAAGAAAATGAATCACGTGTTGAAGATCAAGTGTTGCAAGATATTCCAAATGAGCCTCGACGTTCAATGCGAGAGGTCAGGCCAACAGAGCGACAAGCGGAAAACCAAGGAAAACCCTTCGTTAGCAACCTTGAGAAAGCCGTGAAGGAGATTCAAGAATCACAGCAAGCCCAAAGAGCTGGAATCGCCGAAGTCAATGAGTGGCTCGACGACCCTTCCATTCTATTCACATCTGCTACTATTGCTGATCTTGCATATCACCATAGAGCCAATATCCTCAACAGTCTCGTTGAACCCAGTCCGTAGGCTATTAAACGTGTCGAGAACATCTTCCTGACGAAGGAAGAAGCAGTCTACGAGGATGATCCAACACTCGAGCAAGCAATAAATCCCAACGAATGGGAGCAATGGAAGATGGCAATCGCAGATGAGTCGAAGAGCTTGAAGGAGATGGGTGTATACAAACCCGTTAAACGCGGTGATGTTCCGGTGGGAAAGAAAGTCATAAAAGGGAAGATTGTCTTGCATTGCAAGCGGAATGAAAAGGGTGAAGTGGTGAGACATAAAGCGAGATACGTCGCCAAAGGGTTCCAACAGGTCCCAGGGAAGGACTACACCGAAACTACATCACCTACCACCCATATGGAAAGCCTGCGAAGCCTACTGCACATCGCTGCAGTGAACAACTGGGATATCCAACAACTGGACGTCAAGACTGCATTTCGATATGGCCCACT